ATAACATATATTTTTTTTATAACGGTCCCGACCGGCGCCTTTTAAGAGTAAGGTACTTTTTGCTTTGTAATTATGTACTTACATACACACGCACACACGAACACACACACACGCATGAATATACACATACATACGCCCATTTTGTATACAACAACCTTCAAATTTTCTTAAAATAGTTACTTAGTTACTTTAGCAATTCCAGTTATTCACCACTACCAATTTCAAAAGATGAACTAGTGGCGCTGCTACGAATGTGTGCAGCCGAAGTGCCCTGTTTTGGCCCGGGTAAAACGCTATATCAGCAAGCAGACGGTGTATCTATGGGCTCTACATTGGGGGTACTTTTCGCAAACTTCTGCGTTGGTTATATCGAAGAAACGTTATTTAAAGAAGAGCCAGAGTTAAAGCCCAATATATAGGGTACTGCCGATACGTTGACGATGTTTTCGTTACATACGATGAAGATGATGATCAAATAGCAAAACTTCTAAATTCATCAAAATTAAAGTTTATAATTGAAAAAAAAACAACTGACATTAAACTACCTCTCCTAGACGTACTAATACAAAATTCTTATAATGAATTTAAAACCTCAGCATACACTAAAGTAACATACAAAGGTTTATGTCTTAATAGAAATAGTAAATGTTGTCAAACATATCTAGAGAGCACACTCTCTGCCTTTGTAAACCGAGCTTACACTGACTCTCTTGTTGTAGAATAGAAGAGAAAAGAGCTAGATGGAGTCACTAAACTAAACTACCCAGTAATAATGGATATAAAAATTCCATGATCCAGAAAATAATCCAAAACATAGAACAAAATATCAGCATCTCTACAACAATAATGCAGCCAACAGTAGCAACAAAAATAACATAGTAATATATTATAAGAACAGGGTGACAAAATTATGAAAATTATGAAATTATGAAAATTATGAAAAGAATCGTAAAACATAATGTCAAAGCAATCAACGAAACGAAATCGATAGTATTAATGTGTGTGTGTGTGTATGTATGTGTGTGTGTGTGTGTGTGTGTGTGTGTGTGTGTGTGTGTGTTAAACTACTAACCGAAGAACGTCATCTCCTGTAAACCAAAATCAATAATGGATCATAGCCATCTAATATATTTGTTCGAATGTAATATTAGTGTGTATGTATGTGTGTGTGTATGTATGCATGTGTGTATGTATGTATGTATGTATGTATGCATGCATGTATGTATGCATGTATGTGTGCATGCATGTATGTATGTATGTATGTATGTATGTATGTATGTATGTATGTATGTAGGTAGGTAGGTAGGTAGGTAGGTATGTATGTAGGGATGTTAAAGTAATATAACCGACGGAGCGTGAAGCCGCTAATTAGATTCGAATCATTGATTGCATTTGCTGCCTGTGTGGGCGTATGTTTGCGTGTGTGTGCGCGTGCCTGTGTGGATGTGATGTTGTTTACGTGTGCGTACGTAAGCTTCTGTTATATGGGCTTCTGATGAGGTTTCTTTTTTGATCGGTTAGTGCATATTTATAAGTGTTGGTAGTAGTGGTAGTAGCAGTAGTAGTATTTGTAGTGGTAGTAGTATTAGTAGCTGTATTAGTAGCTGTAGTAGTAGTAGTGGTTTTAGTAGTAGTAGTAGTAGTAGTAGTAATAGTAGTAGTAGTAGTAGTAGTGTTAGTATTAGTATTAGCCGTGGTAGTAGTGGTAGTCGTAGTAGTAGAGCAGCAGCAAAAGTAGTAATAGTAATAGTAGTAATAGCAATAGCAGGGGTAAGAGTTGTAGTAGCAGCAATAAATGAATGGAGTTAGAAGCATGGATGGTGATTAGTTTATTTGTCAAGGCGGTAGCTTAGCAGGAAATCATTGATCAACACGGGACAAGCGCTAATAATCTGTTGTCAGCTGATTGATGATGATGCTGATGAGGAAGATGATGTTGTTGTTGCTGCTGCTAGCGATGACGTCATAGTGACGTCGTGATACTGGTGGCAATGATGATAATGAGGATGTTTATGTTCTAGTAGTCGGCATGCTAAGGTATCTTTGGTGATGATGACGTAAGATCATCCTGATGATGATGACAATGATTGTTATTATTACTTATATTGTTATTATTATTATTAATATTAGTAACTGTAGTATTAGTAGTAGTAGTGGTAGTTGTAGTGGTAGTAGTAGTGGTAGTAGTAGTGGTAGTAGTAGTAGTAGTAGTAGTAATTGTAGTAGTAGTAGTAGTAGTAGTAGTAGTAGTAGTAGTAGTAGTAGTAGCATTGGACAGAATAAATCCGCCTATCATCACTTTAGAGTGGAAACAAAATATACCAGTGCACGTGATCATTGCTCCATTCTTTCACTCCCTTTCTTTTTCTCTTTTTCCTTTTCCATCTATCTTCCATTCTTTCTCTTCCTCTCTCTATTTTCTCTTTTTTTTTGAATTTCTCAATTTTTTTTAGCAATTTATCTTGTTTTTGTTTTAGTAACTTCTTAAAACATTTTAATCTTTTCATTTTTTTTGGCACTATATTGATTTTTCCAAAGTTTTTTTTAAGAATTTTTAGGATTTTTCTTTTGCTTTCTCTTTCTCTCTCTTTTCATTCATCTCTCCCACTCATTATCTCTCTTCTCCATTTTATTTCTTGTTCCATTTTTTGTTTGAGTCTTTCCGCTCAAGGTGCCACGTTGTTGTTGTTGCTGCTCTTTCATTCCTACAATCATTTTATACTTCTTAATATTTCTTTCCTTCATATTTTATTTCAATTTTAGCTATCCAAGTTTTGGCTTTCTGTACTTAAGTTTTTTTGCATTCATTGTTTTTCCATATTCTTGAAATTTTCTTTTTAATCTTAGTTTTTTTTTTAAATTGTCGTTTTTAAACGTCACTAAACAAACAGCACTGCCAACGCGAACAGTTACACACATTATCATCACATACATAAACACGCACACACACACACACACACCTACACACAAATACACACAAATACACACAATACATTCACACACACAAAAAACACACACACGCAAACGCATACGTTTGCGTAATTTCAGAAAGAATTCAATGACAAATTCTCTCAGGTATTCAAAGGCTAAGGCAGTCAGACACAAGTAATGTTGTTTTATTTCGAATTAATTCGAGAATAAATATTTAATCTTAAATAAATAAAAAGTTTAATTAAAATTAAACAAATGAAATCTCAAATAAATAATATGTTGGCTTAAAAATAGTTTCTCTATGTTTTATAAAACATATTTTAGCAAGGTTTATAGTCTAAAACATTGAAATTGAAATATAGCACGTCAAAAAGTTAACTATCATTTTTATTGACATTATAACAATGGTAAAAAATTGGCTCAGGTGCTAAAACAGCACAAAAATTTAAGCAAACAAACTTTCATACAAAACAAACATACAAAACAAACATACAAAACAAACATACAAAACAAACATACAAAACAAACATACAAAGCAAACGTACAAAGAAAACATACAAACAAACAAAGAAAGCAAACAGAACCAAAGACAAAAAACTACTCATACATGCAAATACAAAACGTGTCGAAACATACAGAGGAAACATCACGCAACCGGATGTTGATACGAAACAAAATGGCGGACAAAAATAAACAAACACACACGTGCTACTGAATTCATAAAAAACAAACACACATCACACACACATACATTCAAACGCACACACACACACACACATATATAAACATACAAACGCCTGGCATATAAAACATGTGCATACATACAAAATTTAAATATTGTATTTTGATGAATACACAAAAATTTAAACAATAACAAACCAAAAAATGTTTAAGCGGAACCGGAAGCACAAGCACCCACACAAACAGCAGAAACATTTTTTCAATGTTTGAAAAAGTATGAAAGCAAAACTGAAAAAATGCTCAAAATTTTGAAAAAAAATAAAAATTTTAACAAACTTACATAAACAAACAAGCAAAACAAACATACAAAAAAACATCTACACAAACATACAAAACTAACAAACGAACAAAAAAACATACAAAACTAGACAAACATACGCAAAAAACTCTGGCTAGACGTGATAAGAAGGGTTGAGAAAAAGCCTTTATAGGCTTCGGCAGGTGTTTCTGTCATTGTTCGCCAGACACGCACACACACACACCACACACACACACACACACACATATATATATATATATATATATATATATATATATATACTCACACACACTCACACACACAGCCACACGCATATCCAAACATTTGAGCACAATAACACACACACATTAGCACATTCACGCACATAAACACGCACACACACATACATACACACACACACACACACATACAACGCGATAATCATGCCAGAAAAAATGAATTGATTTATTACATACACTTACATATTTTATTTGCAGGTATTTCTGAATATTTTTGTCTACGTAAGTAATGGTATTTTACGTATTTCGCGTGCGTATGAGTATGCGTGAAAGTCCGCACTCACACATACATACACACGCACACTTACACATACACACACGCACATTCACACGTACAAACACGTACACACACACACACAAACACAGTTATATATATTTTAACATCGTGACCTATGTATATACCAAACAACTGAATATTTTGATGCGTCTTTATACTCAAAAAAAAACCAAACACAAATTAACAGATACGCAAACAAATACCCAAAATACCAAGTACACACGTATACCTAGTAACAATACTTAATAAATACCCTCCACAAGTCAATACCCATGCGATAATTCATAATAATAAACAATAATTGTTTTGATGAATAAACGAATTGTGAATTGTGAATAAATCTCAACAATACGTAATAATAAGGCATAGAAATACACAGCAATACGCAATACCAGCCATACCATACGCAATAATGACACGGGCACACGCATGCATAAATATAATACACACACGCCATTCAGCCTGCTTTATTCATCTTTTACGAGCAGACATGCTTTTAATTAATAAACACATTTTAGTATTTTTTGTGTGTGTAACGTATTTTTTGGGTTTTGTTTCGTTTTTGCCTTTGTATTGTTTTTGTTTTGTGTGCGTGTGTGTGTGTATGTTTTGGAGATTGTGTGTGTATTTTTGTGTGTGTTTGTTCGTATGCGTTTGTATGTTTTAATGATATTTTGTCTGCTATAGTTTGTTTGTATGTTTGGATATTTGTATTTTGGCATGTATGTATGTATGTATGTATGTATGTATGTATGTATGTATGTATGTATTTTGGCATGTATGTATGTATGTATGTATGTATGTATGTATGTATGTATGTATGTATGTATTTTGGCATGTATGTATGTATGTATGTATGTATGTATGTATGTATGTATGTATGTATGTATGTATGTATGTATGTATGTATGTATGTATGTATGTATGTATGTATGTATGTATGTATGTATGTATGTATGTATGTATGTATGTATGTATG